AATGTTTTTGTAATGTTAAGCCATCCTTCCATATCTCATACAAATCTCTCTTGAATAACATTTTTAGAAAAATATTTTAAAAAATATGATGTTGGATTCTCTTGGCAGGGATTTGACTGGGAAAGCTTGCATCAGTGTTCCTGGGAGATACTGGGTATAACTGTCTTTTTTTTGGTGATGTCTCTCTGGCTTTGGTATCAGGGTTACACTTATGACTTTCCAAGTTGTGGTTTCACCCTCTCCAGGAAAAACTTGTTCTCTTGGAGGTTAATATTCTTCTCCAGCACCATAACTCAAAGTTATTGATTCTTTTTCTGTCATCCTTAGTCATTGTCCAGCTCTCTGATGCATATCAAGTAATTGTGAAGACCATGGCCTGGATCAGGTGCACCTTCTCTTGAAGTTGCATCAGTCTCTAGAATGACATTGTAGCTCTTGAGCTCTGGTGAGGTCACTGACAGCAGATCTCCCTAAAGCAATTCATGTTTTGAATTCCTGACTACTAATTGGCATTAGTAATGGGCACCCATGGTGGACAGTGTTGGCTGGAGCTTCCCGACTAAATCAAGCCTGGAAGCAGGAGCAGCATCCACTTCCAAAATGGCTTGCTTCCGGAAACTCTATGTACGAACAGTGCTCAGGCTGTTCGTTCATAGGGTCGTTGTGAGTCTTCTACGACTTGACGGCATTAAACAACAACAACAACAACAATGCCAAGAGTGTTGATTTTGGAACCGAACAAGCTGACATTGTTAACAATTCTAAGGTCTTCTCTTTGTATCAGAAAGCTGCCAAATGGCCCTCTGCTAATGTCTGTCATCTTGAAGTTGAGTTTTAATCTACATTGGAGACGCAGTCCTTGACCTTTTGCTGCAAATGCTTCAGGTCCTCCTCTGTTTCAGCAAGCAAGGTTGTGTCATCTGCATAACGTAGGTTGTTGATGAGTCTTCCTCTAATCCTGTTGCTACATTCCTCCTCGCAGAGCCCAGCTTCCTGAATGATCTGTTCCATATATCAATTGAAAAGATATGGAGACAGGATGCATCTTTGATGCACTTCTTTCCTGATTTTGAACTATTCAGAGTTTGCCTCTTCTGTTCTGAGGACTACTTCCTGGTCCAATAATAGGTTTGCATAAGCACAATCTAGTGTTCTGGGATTCCCATTTTCCTCAAGGTTAGCCACAATTTGTTGTGATCCACACAGTCAAATGTCTTTGTATAGTCAGTGAAACATAGACATTCCTCTGGTACTCTGTCCTTTCAAGATGAGTCTGCCATTGGCAATGATGTCCCTACTTCCACAGCCTCTTTAAACCCAGTATTTCTGGTGGTTCTCTGTTGGTGTCCTGTTCCAGTTATTTTTGAGTAATCTTCAGCGGGATTTTGCGTGCATGGAATATTTTATGATAATTTTTGCACTCTGCTGGCTCCCCATTTTTGGAAAGGGAATAAATAGAGATCTCTTCCAGTCAGTTGGCCAGGTAGTTGTCCCCTATATTTCTTGATGAGCATCTCATCTTTTTCTGTTTTGAGTAGAAATGGTGTCAGCCCTTCTGAGAGTGTGGTTAACAGCTGTGACGGGAAACCTATAACTGCAGTAGCAAAAAGCCAAGCTAAGGCGTTTATTCTGTGCACTGTACAAAACGGAAAAGAAGAAACAGAAGGGGATAGGGAAGGGCAGGCAGCACAGTTTTTGAGACCAGAATGGCTGCGTCCCTTTAGGAATGTATACAGTTAGATGGAAGCCTGGGGAAGAGTTTGCCTGTCATTAACATGCTACAGGAGGGCAGTGCTCACAACCCTCACACCTTCCTTCTCTTTGACATGAGTAACCTTTGCTCAGGCAACAGCCAGCCTAAATCAGGATGCTCAGAATGGAGGTAGAAGGAAGGCTCTGCAATCTCGGGGCGGCCACCCAGTCCCTCACCCAAGGTCCTCCTGCCATCCAGTGGGAACAAACGCAGCTGACCCTCCAGTGTGTTTCCGAAGCTGTCCATAGCTTGCGAGGGGACTGTCCACCTTCCTGCCTTGAAGCTGCTTGCTGTTGGATTCATTTGCTGAGGGTACAGCCTTTGAGTTGGCTGTGCAGCTCCCCTTGGACTATGCCACGAGAGTTCCAGGTCCCTCACCTTATACCTAAGACTACATTTCTTCCTAGATCTAAACAAGTACAAAGACTTGGCTGTAATCTGAACAGAAGTGGGTTACTGGTCCTTTCTTAGGCAATCTTCCTTAGATGAGTTTACAGAAAGGGCCTTATTCCATGCCAGCTGCTGTGCCCCAGTCCAGCATTGCCTCGGCCTTTCTCTGTGCCTGCTATGCCCCACCTCCCCGACCCTGAGAAGGCCACTTGACAGTCTACAGTCCTGTTACAGCCCACCTCTGACTTAGGGCTCTGTAGATTGGCCTTCCTGAACCTTCCAGGATCCTTGTGTAACAGGCATGTGATCTGAACACAGACATTTCCAACCACTGCAAATAAACCCAAGCCCCAGGCTGCTGAATCATGACCATGAACGCCTTCAGATCTGCACTTCCCATCTTTCAGTTACAGTAAGAAGCACAGGGTTGCATTGGGAGCTCTCCATATCCTCAGAGGAGAGATGTGACAGTGGCAGAGTGGAGGGGATGAGGTTAAATTGTTGCTAGGTGTAGTGGATTTGGAAGCAACTCACTGCCAACCCTCTGGAGAGTTTTTAGGGGCTGTTAAGTCCCTCAGGGCAAGACTGCCCATGGATTTGAACTGCATACCTTTGTGTTGAGAGCACAACTCCTCACCCATTAGGCTACCAGAGCTCTGGGGGTTAAGCATATCTGGTAAATGATTTAATGACCCTTTTTGGTGAGTGGTGAGGCCTTGCACTGAAGATCCTGGTGGGAGCCACACCTGCTTGTCTCCTGGAGATTCTAGCCCCTGGGGGTGGTCCTGCTGTCACCAGGGTAGCTCTGAGTGGAGGGCCACGCTACAGCACCCAAGACATTTGGTGTGGTGGTAGCTGTGGTTTGTTTAAAAGCCACGTATAAAGACTTGTGTTTTTGTTTTAAAGTCTTTATGTGAGAGAAAAGCAACTTAGTATTTTCTCTAATTGCCAGAACCTAAGAATGAAGACCTTTTTTTTTAATAGCCCCCATGTGTTTATTCTCTTCCTGTCCCCTCACACTCCCCTCCCTCCGTCCTTCTCCTCTGCTCTTAAGAAGCTGAAGTTTGAGACCCCTTTTAGGTGGCATCCCACGGAGGAGTCACAGGTGAGCTGGGTAAGGCCAAGAGGGGGTGCTGGAGCCACTGGCCACAATCCTATCAGCTTGGAGACCTGTTGTGCAGACCGGGGAATCCCAGGGTCCAGGAGGCAAGGTGGCACTCTCCAGGTTCTGGGGTCTAATCCTGGAGGAAGAGGGCTGCTCCAAACCACTGAGGTCAGCCCAGGGCAGGCCCTTCCCCTTTGCATGTCCAGTGACTGCCTGGTCCCCAAGTGCACACACGATCATCCCCCTTTCTCCTGTCTGGTGACTGCCCAGTCTCCACCGGGATGACGGAATGGCAAAGAACATTTTGACAAAGGAGGTCAATCTGAACTGGTTTTGACAAAGACTGTGGCAATATAACAATAGAAACTGACCCTCAAGGAATGAGGCTATATGACAATAAAAACAGACTCTCAAGGAATGTGGCAAAAGCAAACTCAAGGACAAGATAAGAGATGGCCAAAGTCACCATATCCATTAGAAGGAAGCCATCATCAGCTGTTTAAATCCCACTCCCTGCGAACCAAAGATAGATACATCCTTCTATAAGGTAAGTCTGTCCTGGCCCCTTTCATAGTCTGTTATGAATGTCTAATAAACCTCAGTTTCCTTCTCTTGCTCTCAATTGGTGTCTTAGTGTTTCCGAGACAGAACTTTCTATTTCTTACGGGAAGAGGCCCCGGGACCTCCTTTGGAAATCATCCCCTTGACACAGTGACTGCCTGGTCCCCATATGCACGCATGCTCAGTGCATGCTCGGTGATTGATCCCCACGGGCACGCACCCTCACCCCCCCTTCGCCTGGCCGGTCCCCACGTGCACGCACGCCCATCCCCCTTCGCCTGTCCAGTCCCCACGTGCACGCACGCTCACCACCTTCGCCTGTCCAGTGACTGCCAGTCCCTAACTGCACACAAGCTCCTCCCCCTTCGCTGTCACATGGTGGTCCAGGGAGCAGCGCTCGTGCCGTGTTCTGATTGGCTGGAAGTTCACTCTCCCGCGGCCCGAGCGCGCTCTCGGTTTGCCACGCCAACCCTTCCGGCTCGGGACCGCCCAGGGGAGGGTCCTGGCTGAGTCGGGCGGAGCCTATCCTGACTGAGGGGAGGGGGCTGCCGGGGCGGGGGTCGGGTCTCGGCCTGAAGGGCGGTTTATGTCCAGATCTGAGGGGCCGAGGGGCAGTGCCTGATGGGGCCGGGGGACGGAGCTTAGCTAGGCCGAGGGGCGGAGCCCGTGGGACTGAAGGGTGGAACCTGGTGGGGCCGGAGGGCGGAGCTTAGCTAGGCCGAGAGGCGGAGCCCGGCGGGGCCGAGGGGAGGGACCAAGGGGCGGAGCCCTGTGGGGAGAAGGAGCCTGTCCTGGCTGGGGGCGGGGCTTACCTCGACCGAGGGGCGGAGCCCTCGGGGTCGGGGGGCGGAGCCCGGTGCGGCATAGGGGCAGAACCTGTCAGGGCTGAAGGGCGGAGCTAGGCCGAGGGGCGGAACCTGTCCTGGCCGCGGGGCCGGGGCTGGCCGGCCTTGCAGGCCGCCTTGCCCTATGGCGTGGGAGGGAGTCCCGGGCCGCGCCCCGCGAGGCCTGCCTCGGACCCGGCCAATCCCGCGCGGGCGAGTGCGCGTCCGGGGCGGCGGGGCCTCCGCCCGGGGGCGGGGGACAATGGGCCAGTTCCTGGTGCGTCACGCGGGAGTTCCTTAAAGGGGAAGTGGCGAGCCGGCCGCGGGGCGTGGGGTCTGCGGGGAGTCCCGCGCTGAGGAGCATGCCCGCGGCGCCCGCGCGACCATGCAATGGCGAGCGCTGGTCCTGGGGCTGCTGCTGCTCCGCCTGGGGCTGCACGCGGTGCTGTGGCTGGTGTGCGGACTGGGGCCCAGTGCGGGCCTGTACCAGCGCTTCCCGCTCGGCCTCGGCATCCCGCGCCTGAGTCCAGCCGGCCGGCCCGGGGACCCCGCGCAGCCCGCTCGGCCGTCCTGGCTCTCCGGGACAGCGGATCCCGCGCAGGGCGCGTGCGGCTCGGCGGCCTGGGGCGCGGTGCTGGGCTGCGGGCCCGACGAGTACGAGCGGCGCTACCGGGGCGCCTTCCCGCCGCAGCTCCGCGCGCAGATGCGGGACCTGGCGCGCAGCATGTTCGCCTTCGCCTACGATAACTACATGGCGCACGCCTTCCCCCAGGACGAGCTCAACCCCATCGACTGCCGCGGCCGGGGCCCGGACCGCGCGGACCCGTGAGTACCAACCCCCGGCCCCGCAGACCCCCCGCGGCCCACCGGCCCAGCCCCACCGTCCACCACCACCGGCCACTCCTGGCCAGGGCGCGCGTGTTTGCCACCGAGTCTCGGAAGTACAGGCCACTGGCCAACTCAGCCTGCTGGGGACACTGAGGTCTAGCGTCCAGTGTCCGGAGGGCTCCCCCGGGGAGGCTGGACCCTCTTCCGCCGCCCCCCCTCCACCCCGTATGGGAAGGGAGGTCTGGGTGTTTGGCCCAGAGACGCACTTCCAAACCTGCCCTTCCTCCCCTCCTATCAGATGGCCACACCCGGCTCCTCTCCCTGTTGGCCCGGAGGCCTTCATGGACCTAAGCACCTGTCCCCTCACCACCCTCTGCTTTTCCTGCTGAGGGCAGTTTAAGGGGGAAGGAGGGGCCTGCCCGGCCCATCTCTGGGGTCTTGACACCTGGAGCCTGGTACCATCTGAGCAGTTGCTGCTGGTCGGTCCTCTCCTTGCCCGGCTTGCTATTGTGTGTCTTGGGGTTACTGTTCTGATCCCCCAGTCCGAGGAGCCAGTCCGTAGAGCCTCCTTGGGGTCTTGTCCTCACACGGGAAAAGTGTGTGTGGGGGTCCACCTCCCATTCTAAAGAGGATGCCATGTCCTGAATGGCCTGGAAAGTTGTTGGTTTGTTTCCTCAGCCAGTTTGCATCACATTTGATTTGATGGAGGACAGGACTTTCGAAGAAGCAAGGCCAGCTGTCAGGCCGGCTCTCAGGCCAGCTCTCAGGCCAGTGGTCAGGCAGGCTGTCAGGGGGGCTCTCAGACTAGGTCTCAGGCCGGCTGTCAGGCCAGCTGTCAGGCGGGCTCTCAGGCTGGCTTGGAAGGACAGGGCAGTTCTTGCTCATCAAACTTCAAACATAGACATTTACTTGCATACTTAAGGTTTAGGAAATGATTAAACTGGGGTGGGGGGATTGAGCTTGTTGAAATTGTGTGAAATGAATGAGTTCTTTGTCTCGAGTAGCCTATGAAGCTTTATACTTATGTTTGTATTTTCTATCAGTTATTCTTTGAGAAAAAAAAATTGACATTTGGAAAAAAAATGAGTCGGCCATTCCAAACTGTAAGCAGTGAGCAGATTATTTAACTGTACTGAGCTTCATGACTGTGTATTCTCTAGTTCTTTCCAGCAGGGTTAGTGACACAGTGACCGGAGCAGTTGGAGGTTTTGGCTGCCGCAGGGCAGGGCAAGGTTTAGCTCTGTAGTTCCTGGCGTTGATGTGACTTGTAATCAACTTGACAGCACCTAATAACAATTTTTTTCTTAAAATTTTGTTCTTGAGAATATGCACTTGCAAGCCTGCAGATTGGCCTGTTTTCTGCACGCCCTTGTGACGCTGACTCCTTGGAAATTGTGTGGCTTTTACCCCTCCCTCCTATGAGCCGACCCTCATTGATGTAGGTCACTGCTGCCCGAAGTCCTCTCGTCTTGCCAGTTGCTTTTATTAATTTGATCCCATACAGATGAACAAGGCAGATTTTTTTTCCTGGTTAAGTTAACCCGTTCTGTTTTCAGAGATATTTTTGTCTTGTCATTAGGGGATCTTGAGTTGACAAGGACTCCTAGTGACCCTCTCTGCACAGTGGCTCTGAAGCATGCCCTGTCCTGAGCGATTCTCACTGTCTCTGACACACCTACCCTCATTACCCCAGTTACTGTGTCAGTCCATCTCATCCAGGACTCATGTGCCTTCCCTCTGCCCTTCCGAGCATGATGTCCTTCTCCAAAGACCAGTCCCTCCTTGCCATGTGCCCAAAGTATGTGATCGGGAGCTTCAAAATCCTTGCCTCCAAGAAGCAACCGGGTTTCATGCTCTCCAGAACAGACTTGTTTGTTCTCTTGGCAGTCTGTATAATATGTTCAAGACTCTTCTCCAGCACCACAACTCAAAAGCATCAATTCTTGTTCTGTCATCTTTGGTCGTTGTCCAGCACTCTGATGGCATAGCAAGTAATTGCAAAGACCATGGACTGGATCAGGTGCACCTTAGTCTGTAGACTGACATCATTGTGGTGGTAGAGTTATGTGCCGTCGAGTCGCCTGTGATTCATAGCGACCCTGTGTACAACAGCCCTAAACCCTGCGCTATCCTGTGCCAATCTTATTATCTCTGACACACCCACCCCCATTACCCCAGTCACTGAATCAATCCACCTCATAGTGGGGCTGTCCCTCCACCCTCCCAAGCATGATGTTCCTCTCCAAGGACTGGTTCCTCCCTTGCAACCTATCTAGAGTACATCAGATGGAGCTTCAGAATCCTTGCCTCCAAGGAGCAGCCTGGTTTAACCCACTCCACGACAAACCTGTTTGTTCTCCTAGCAGTCCAGCTCAAAGGCTCAATTCTCCTTCAAAGGCTCAATTCTCCTTCTATCATTCCTAGTCATTCATTGCCCAGCTCTCTGGCACATAGCAAGTGGTTGCAAAGACCATAGCCTGTGTTGGGCACACCTTAGTCTCCAGAGAGACATCATGGTCAGGTTTAAAAGTTCTCTCAGTGTCTCCTCCTCCCATGATTTAGATAGGCCAGAGTCTGAGAATTTGGAATCCTCTTCTGTGTCCCTCCTGCTTTTATGTGGCATCCGAGATCAGAGCTAACCAGTAATGGTCGCAGTGCATGATCTGATTCTTCTGGTCATGGCTGAAGAGGCAGCTGGACATGGAGGTGGTCAGCTGGATAGTCCTAGTGTCCCTGCATCTGATGCTCCAGTGCTGGCTGTTTGCAGGCTTTGAGGCAGCAAACGAGGAGCTGAAACAGGAGAGTTGAACATGTTAGGCCAGTTAACTGTGATGTCCGTGCAAGCATTGTGGTGTTGGAGAGGTCTGTTCTGGAGGGAGTGCAACCAACATGCTCCTTGGAGGCGAGGATGGTGACACTGTGTCACATACGTGAGGGCATGTGGTCAGGGGGACCAGCCCTTGGTAGATCCTTCTGGAAAGGTGGGGTCAGGAGAGGAAGACCCTCAACAAGGTGGCCTGACACAGTGACGGATGGTGAGAATGGTGCAAGGTGGTGCAGGGTTCATTCAGGTCTGTTGTGTGGAGGGTTGCTGTGAGCTATAGTCTATTTGACAGCACCCAACCGCCCACCACCACCTCCTAAAGCAGGAACACATCCCGGGAGGGGAGCGAGTTGGTTGTATGTAAGCAGCCTGGGCAGCTACTCTTTGTTATTGTTGCAGTGAATGTATATAACAGTGTTTGCTAATTCAGCTTTATAGACCACAGTTGATTGACGGCACCTGCCACGGTCTGCCAGCCTTCATCAGCGTGGTTTTCCATCACTGTCAATCTCGCTTTCCTTGATCTCGCTGGCTCTTCATAGTCACTGAGAGATTTTGTGCTCCAGAAGTGTTTTTGACAAAATAACCGAGGTTGTATATACTATGTATGTGTATAACCGAGTCATAATTGACTTATTTCATTCACTTTTTCTGGTTCCATCAATGCTGAAACACACATCAAGACTTTAATTTTTTTTTCTGACTGTGTAGTGTTCCACTGCCTGACTGGACACATTCTGTTTCTCTCTGCAGCTGTAGGTGTGCATTCTGGTTGCTTCCAGTTGGCTGTTGGGAAACATGCTGAATTTTGGTAGAGAAGTCTCTCCTTTCAATCTTTAGGATATATGCCTAGGAATGCAGCTCCTAGGTTTTACAATACTTCTGCTTTTAGTTTTTTGCGGAACTGCTGGTTTTCCATAATAGCTGTACCGTTTTGCATCCAGCAGTGGTTATGGGTTCCAGTCTCCCCACCTCCTCACAGGGATCTGTGCTGCTCTGTCAGTTGTTTGTTTTGCTTGTTAACGTCTCAGCTCTCTCAGGGATGTGGCACCCTCTGTGGTCTGCCTGCGGGTCCTCTCCTGTCTAGTCAAGTCCTTTGCTTTGATTAGGTTGTTTTGTGAGAAGTTGAAGTTTTGTATGTTTTTTGGTTATTAGAATCTTGTTAGATGCATAGTTTCCATAACTACTCTCCAAGGTAGCAGCTTGTCTTTTCAGTTTTTTGGTAGTGTTTGGATGAACAGAAGACATGAGGGCTCCTTTAGTTTTTTCTTTTCCTGTGTGTGCTTTTCAATATCCATTCTCGTAAGCTAGGCCTGAAACGGTACCCTCTACTCAATCTAAGAATTTATGTGGCGAGTCCAGTGTGTGTGCATGTGTGCACCCGTGTGTGTGCGTGTGTGTGGGATGTGTATGTATGTGTGTTGTGTTGTGTGTGGGGTGTGTGTAAGAGTGTGTGCATGCACGTGTGTGCATGTGTTTGGTGAGGCATGGGTGGACATGGCCTCATATCTGCGTGTGGAAATCCAGTTTCCCAGCTTCATATGTGGAGGACACTCCTCTTTGTTGAGTTGATTTAGCTCCGTTTTAAAATATCAGTTGATTGTAGGTGAGCAGGTTTCTTCCGTATAGTTCTCTGACTCCCCACTGCTGTCTGACCCTGGCATTGCAGGAGTGTCTGCATCATTTGATTCCTGTAGTTGCATAAAATTAAACCCACTATTGTAGAGTTGATTCAGACCCACGGAGACCCTCCACTGGCTTTCTGAGGCTGTGAAACTTCCCAGGGGACTGCTTTCTATGTCTCCTCCTGTGGAGAGGCTGGTGGATTTGAACCACTGACCTCTCAGAGTCAGGAACTCTCCCTTGTTCCCTTTGAACATTGCTTTTGCCATTCTTTATACAGTTGAGGCTTTTCGCTAAAGAAGGTTGTTAGAATTTGGGTCAGCGTATCACTTTGGGTGTTAAGTAGTTAACAATATTATACTTCCCAACCCATGAACATGGAACAGCTTTGCTATTTCTTTTTAAAATTTATCATTTTCACTGCATATGTTCTTCACATGTCTAGTTATTTCCCCCATAGGTTTTTTATTCTCTTTGATGCTGTTTTAAATGGAATAATTTCCCCTGTTTCCCTTTCTGATTTCTTATTGCTGTATATGTGAGAAGCTGG